CCGGAAATTGAGGTCCTGTTCACTGGATCGTTAACTGGAACGCGTGAAAAGTATTCGCAATTGAGGCAGAAGGCTGATTAATGGAAGGAATGTTATACCCGCTCGAATTGACAGGAAACTGAACAATTTCCTAACGTATAACTCTATCGTTTTCTCATTCATCAAATGTTAGTCGTGAAAAACGTGCTTGTTCACCGCCGGTGTCGGACACATGTTTAAAACCGAATCGAAGTCCTTTAAAACTGCATCGCGAAGCATAAATCGTTTTATCCCCGTCTTACAGAATGCATTTTCCCGCTTAATTAAGGGTAAAGTGCATTAAGTTCGCTTTATTCATGCGACAAGATATCAAAGAACTCCGAAGAACGTTTCTTTGATAAATCCTTAACAACGCTCATATAAGTTCGCGACTCGGAAGCAAATGTTCCCCAAGGACTCATTACAGAAGCGTTCCGAAATAAAAGTACCTCGCTGCAAGAAATATTTATCGAACCGTTTGCTCGGCAACCCAATTACGAGCATAATTTCATTTAAAGAATGAATCATCTCCGACGGACGTTTAATAAATAAATAAAGGCGACGGGGATTGATTGGACGAAAAGTGCGCTGAGAAAAGGCCTCTGTTGTATCGTTTATTTGGACCCAACGTCAGACGTGCCGTGGCGACCCTTTCGACGAAATTACCCCTAATTTTTCTGCCGCTGTGTGGCACAAAGATGAAGGGAAGATACAACACGAGCACCGTAGATTACGCCGCCATTGTCGACCCGCTTGGAATTCAATTCCTCGGCCAGTGAATTGCCAGTATCTCGAGAACACTCGAGGAAACGCGACAAGAAGGTGTTCGTGGATGCAAAGTCGTAAATCTCTGGCCGCTAATTGAAACGACGTCGAAAGAAGGGAAACGATAGCGAGCTTCCATGCTGGCTTGTCTCGAGTCGCACGAACCACTTCTTCCTGTTCTCTTTTTATTTTACCTTATTCCTTTCTACGCTTCGGTATAAGTCTAATTTATCGATAGTTCAGGGGATCTCGGGTTATATCGCCGTTTTGAGGTTAGGACGAGGTGAATGAACGATGTACTTGATTGTGTGTTGCTGATTGTGGATGTCTGGACGTAATGGATGTATAGTGGATGTGTGTTTAGTGCCATATAGTGGGAATGGGTAGTCGATTGCTTTGATGAGATTTGTAATTATGATTCTATGATGATTATAATCTTATGATTATCAAGAACAGTCAATTGATTAATCTGTCTTGTAACGAGTTGAATCATGTTGAATTGTATTTAATATAGAATACGTGTGGAATTAAATCATGAGGAATTAAGTCATGTAGGATTAAATCACGTGGAATTGAACCCTGTCAAATTGAGTCACATCACACTACGTAGAATTGAATCACACAATCGTGGAACCGGATTATCCCGAACTTACCAGCCCCGAATTGAATCGCGTGGAACTAAATCACGTGGAATTAAATCGTGTCGAATTGAATGCTTCGAATTGAACCGCGTCGTGAGGAATTGCGTGAAATTAAATCGTGCGAAATTGGATCCACCAGAATTGAATAGCTCCAAATCAAATCACGTCGTGTCAAATCGAATCGCGTGGAGTTAAACCGTGTCGAATTAAAACGCTGCGAATTGAACCAGATGGAAGTGGAGTTGTTTCGAACGAAGTCGTAAGCAACATTTCTATCCAAAACTTCATGTGTCGTTCCTGATCTTTCGTATCTGCAACCTTCATCTGTGATTCTGACAAAATTTCTTGTGAGATCTTCAGCAATTAAAAAAATAACATGTCCAGCAAGATACATAAATGTACACGAAGTTGTCGGGGAAGAGTATTCAATTTCAGTGGTATAGTCAATGGCGTCGATGTCTCGAGTTACGACTGTACCTGAGTGTTCGCGTTTTCGCTCGAGACGGGCTTATTATAACCCCTTTGTGTGCACTAAGGTTTCTCCCACGAAGGTTTCTGGCCTTTGATCCGGTCAGACGATCGATCCTCGAGCCACGTCTCGCTTGTTGTCCGAGCAGGAAGCAGAAGCGACGACGGGAAACACGAAGAATCAAGCTCGGAGCCAAGTGTCATATGCGTGAGATTTAAACGCGACCCTCACCGGAGAATCCGACGATATGTCCTCCTTTTATTTTTGCTTCGAACGCTCTTCACTTTCCCCCTTTTGCTGTGCTTTGCTCGCGAACGCCACTCGAGCAGCTCTATTCATTCGCGAACGCTTTCGAAGCAACCGAGAGTACCCTTTCGACTGGAAATATAGAACACGATCGCTTAGGATAGCACGATTTTCATCAGAAATTCAACAAGTTCCTCTTTAGACCTCTGTATCAGCGGTGTTGAACGTGAGTGTCATTTCTCGCGAGGAATCACTTTTATGGCGTGTTCCGTATCGAGGAATTCGTGCTGTTATTAATTACTTGTACATCTTATTTTGGTTCGTATATTGCTAAATTTTTACACCTCTAAATTTGTAGAGTGTTTAGATTCGCACATCCGTAGGTACTTCTATATTTTTATAACAATACACTGTGACTGTAAATATCTATAGCTCTGTACATTTATATTTTTATGTTCCTAGATGCCTATACTCCTATATGCCTACACTGTTACATCTTACATCTCTACTTCTCCGATATCGCTATATTTCTACAGCTCTCAATCTTCACGCTCCTATATCCTCACCCCTATGTCCTCACATCCCCATATATCTACACCCTCACATAGGGCGAAGAATACCGTATATTTCTATGACCCTATGACCCATGTTCCTATACCACTGTACCTCTATTACACCCTCGTACCCCCATCAGTGGAAGAATCGATATTTCTATGACCCTATACATTATAATAGGAAAAGTTGATGTAGTTGGTCAAGATCATTCCGCTGAAATTTTCACTGGTTCGATCATGGAATATTTAAGCATCAAAGCGATTTCAGGAACGGCTGGTAACAAAATCAAGCGTTCCGAGCAGCTGGCTCGACTCAAATTAGAATATTATATTCCGGGTTTATAACGAACGTGCATCAAGCGCTGTAATTACGAGTCCCAGAATGCGTATAATTATACATAGTTTCGTTTCAATTTCTGCGAAATGTCCGCACGAATTGCCGTGTCTGAAGTGAAATCGAATTAGTGTTCCATTTGCGTGTACCGGTTGTATACGAGCAATTTGCAACTTTTTGGGAAAAAAAAGCTTGGGTGGCCATTGTTCGAATAAATCTCGTTACACGAATTGTTTGTTGACTGCTCTTCCCGCGGATACGATTGTCGAATATCGCGGGATTAGACGGCGGGGGGTTGCGGATGAATATTTGTGCACGCGTGGTTAAACGTATGTGGAGATCGTGCGCGCGGAAATGGTGTGTTGAAATCGACAGGAGGCTCTTTAGGTATTTATTTGTAAGCCTGGTATATAAGCACCGTGGGTTCTCGTGTTGTGCCATTCGGAGAGACCTCCACAACCGCCACTTAAGCGAAACGCCGGAGGGGTGGTTTCCTTCCCCTGTATTCAATTAGTACACCGCACGAAATATCAATTCCATTGCTCGAAAGCTCCTTCGACGTTTTCGAAGCGTACGAGGATAAGAGATACTTTCCGGCAACCGCAAGTATTCCATTCGCTAGTTCCTGCTCTACGTTAATCTAATCTCGGAAACTTCGTGCTTTCCACCTGGTTTATCAATTACCGTGTCGCAGATTGCATTATGCATTCATTTATTTTTTCCCAACTTTCCTGCTAGTCGGACATTCGACTAACGTTACAATAATTACGTAGTTTCACTTGCTTTCTCATTTCCCTCTTCCTCGTTCGAAGCTCATTATTTTTATATTTAAATTTCATTTAATTCAAATTAATTTAATGTTGGTCTGATTTAATTAATATTGTAATTGAATTTACTGTTGACGAAACCTGAATTTTTACTTTATCATTTAATATTATTTTTAATTTACTTAATTAATAATTAATACCGTTCGTATTTTTTATGCTTTATATATTCGATAAAATTTATGCATTGGAAAAAGTGAAACATCGCATAAAATGTGCTAGTGTATTTATAATAGATTTCAGTAGATGATGCTTCATACGAAGTATCGCCAGATAAAAAAACTAACAAGGAAGTACATTTTTCATAAAAATATAAATCATGAAATGTGGGTATTTTTTATCACGCTCTCCGATTTTAGCGGGCAGTGAAAGGTTCAATAATTTATACCATAACGTGTCCAACTGGATATACCGCTTTCCGCTATGACATTCAAGGTGTTAATTAGTATTACTCTGAATACTTGCGCCCAATTATACATGTTATAAAATATTCTGTAAATAACGGGAAGCGAAATGCCCGCATGATGAATAAAAATGATAATTCGAGTTTTTCGAAGAGAATAAAATATTTGAAAAGTTTTTAATCCTTCCGGATAATTTACAGTCACAGTTCATTCGTTCATTTACGAGAATAATAAAGATATATTTATATTGAAATTGAGAACAAATGCAACACGGGGCATGAAAAATCGTCGTGATATTTCTATATTATTCATATCACAACGAATAAATATAAATGTTGACCGTAGTGAAGTGTACACGGTACAGCTTTTAAAAGGTAAACATTTCGGACCGATATAAAATTTACAGGGTTACGCGAAAATCATCGGGTGTCTTCGGTGTTTCAAAAAATATTTTTCCTACTTTCCGTGAAATGTCGACCTTGCGATTACCATCTCCGTTAATTGTACCGGTGTTTTAATTACGAGCCACCCCCCAGTTCGTCGTAATCATTGTGCAAAAATTTCCGCGCGAACTGGCGATTCCAGGCTACATATTCCGCAGGTTCGAGTCCAATTAGGAACTTTCGTTTCGTACCCCTATTTCACTGGATCCCTCCACCTCCAGTTCTATAACTTCCATCCTAATTGTGTTTACCGTTCACCTGGATTTCTTCAAATTAATAATCGAAACTCGTTTATTTTTCAGAACATGGACGTGGCGAAGGCTTCTGAACGGCTGCTGAAATTAGCTGTGAGTACTATTTATTTCTGCTCTAACGGTTTCACAAAATTCCTAAATTACCTAAACATGCAAATTATTCCAAATTAATTATATACTCTTAAATTTTCCATATCTCCACATTCTCATGGCTCTCAATATCCATGTCACAAAATCTCTAACTCCCTGTGTCCCAAATTGCCTACATTTCCAAATCCACAAATCCCCTCCTGATATTTTCAAATCTTCACGTCCAGAGCTCTCAATACTCCAAGCCCCATTTCATCTCTATTCCCAAATTAAAGTACAAAAATTTCCAAATTTACCCCGTACCATAAACAGAGTAAAGAAGAGCGAATTTCCAGAGAAACGCCTCTAATTACCAGCATTTCAAATATTTCTCAAATATTACTCAAAGCGAAATCGTCTCATAATGTCGCAGAAATCGCAGCAATTTTCTCATTAGTCTCGGTAAATCTTCTTAGAATGTAGTTTCGCGCTTTCACGAAAACTCGGTTTGGTACTTTCGCTCGGTGGTGTACAAAACCAGCGGAGTACAGACAGTCGTACAAACACACACGTGCACAGACGTAAGAACGCAGCTTCCTATTCTACATGTGTTCCCGAGCGTGCACGCGTTCCTCGTCTCCGAATTGTTCGCTTTCTCGTCGGAGACCTCTTAGGTGGAAAGCCTCGAAGCAATATTTGCGAATTCAATCTCCTTTTCGTTGTGCGGTACGCGAACTTCGTCGCGAGCTAAGAGGTATCGTTCGATTTTGTAGCGTGTTGCAGAAACGTATGGCGGATGACTGTGTCGTTTAACACGTTGACTGCTGTGCTAAAAATTGACGTGTGTGGCCACATGTTCTATTATGCGATACAAATTATTCACAAAATTTACTTAACTATTCAGTTTTATATTCTAACTTGTTAATGTATATCGTTGATCAAATATTTAGGGCACTGAACAATCTGTTCTTTTTCATTTCTTAGATTCGTCTTTCAGTTTGTTAAGGTACATCATTGATTAAATATTTGGAGCACTGAACAATTTCTTCTTCTTAAATTTTATATTCATTTTTCAGTTTGTTAGTGTATATCACTGATAAAATATTCAGAGCACTAAACAATCTTCTTCTTAATTTTTGAGATTCATCTTTCAGTTTGTTAATGTATATCACTGGTCAAATATTTATGGTACTGAACAATTTCTTCTTCTTAAATTTTATATTCATTTTTCAGTTTGTTAGTGTATATCACTGATAAAATATTCAGAGCACTAAACAATCTTCTTCTTAATTTTTGAGATTCATCTTTCAGTTTGTTAATGTATATCACTGGTCAAATATTTATGGTACTGAACAATTTCTTCTTCTTAAATTTTATATTCATTTTTCAGTTTGTTAGTGTATATCACTGATAAAATATTCAGAGCACTAAACAATCTTCTTCTTAATTTTTGAGATTCATCTTTCAGTTTGTTAATGTATATCACTGGTCAAATATTTATGGTACTGAACAATTTCTTCTTCTTAAATTTTATATTCATTTTTCAGTTTGTTAGTGTATATCACTGATAAAATATTCAAAGCACTAAACAGTTTTTTTCTATTAATTTTTGAGATTCATCTCACAGTTTGTTAGTGTATGTCATTGATCAAATATTTAAAATACTCAAAAGTTTCTTCTTCTTAACTTTTCAGTTTCATCTTTTAGTTTCTTAATAAATATCATTAAAATAATATTGAGAAAACAATCTTCTCTTTTTGTGCACCTTTCGATAATTTAACGGAATTTAAGCAGTGACCAGAAAGAGAGTCGATGCGTCCACACACGTCATGGTTTAGGGATGCATATCATCCCTGCAGATACACAGCGGACGCTGTAGTTTCGTAGCTGACTGTAGCCACGAGCGTTTCAATGCATACCGAAAATTCCGTGACGAATCTAGGAATTCATCGCTTGCAATTTTTGTCGTGTAGACTGCTGGCAGATGCCTCGGGCATAAATTATGCGGCTGCAGAAATCGCGATTGTCCGGATGGAGCTCTACAAAACTGTACCGATAATTGAACGAGAAATTAGAGTTTCTCTACACTGAACAAATTTTTGAAATATTGACTCGTATCTTGAAGACCCATAAAGTGGACTTTCAGTTCAACTTAAATAAAAGAAATAGCTCGTGCATCCCTCGACGTAACAGCTGTCAATATTTCTCCCTTCACTGCCGTATAAACAATTGTTCCACTCGCTTCGCGAGTTATCGCTGTAAAAGTGTGGGGCTAAACGAAGAGCCGTGAGAAAGATGGATACACGAGATATTGTTTCGTCTGTCAAGCCAGAGGCAGGGTTTCTGCGTTTGACGATTCCGGAAGTGGAAGGCGATGTAGCTTCGATGCGGCACGTATACGTATAATTCCTTTACGAAGTTCGTATTTCCTTTGGTTCTTAAAGGAATCGTGGTGCGCGATATTTAATAGACGGGGTAAAATTCAACGTCATATTCCGGTTTTGTCTGCGCGCTGACGCGTTCGCGGGAAGTTGGGCGGCCATGAATCAACGCTGTAACTTCTCTTAGCTCGACACGATTGTTTTGCGAGGCGTCGCGGTGTAACCGTGCGAGAAACGCAGCCGTGAAATCCGAGCAGATTACCATCTCGCGGGCGTTGCGCGTGCACAAAGGGCAACCAGTGTGTCGCGCCGCGTTGTATGGATTTTATCGGGTTTCGAGCGGCGGGAAATAACCGCGTTATCCCATAACCGACAACGTAAACTCCGAAAACACGGCTTCATAATTTGACGCGTAACATTTGCGGCTACCATTAAAGCCGCGGCTCGATGCGTCTCTTCTGCCTCTCCGCTCCCGATGCGTTAATTAAAATTCTCGCTACGGGTCTGCCGGGACGATAGTGGAACGAGGACGAGCGCGTGGGGATCATGCGATGCGTAAAGCGCGAAACGGCCAAATATCAAAGGAACAACGTCCAATGTCAACGATAAAAACCATTAGATTAATTCTGTATAAATGTAATATCGCGGAACGTTGTTATACGTGTAAAGCTAACCGAAGCTCCAGTAATGGATGGGCAATCAGAAAGATGACTCTTGCGTCCATAACATTTTCGTTTATTAACGTGTCTCGGATAAGCAATAATAAACAAGGAATTTTTAATTCGGTGAAAATTTTGAAGCAGAACATTACGAAGAGAAATGTGACCAGTGATCGGATGCTGTTGTTCCCTTTTAGAATCGACCTGTATATTGATTCGCATCTTTCCCATTCTTCTCGAAGCACTCTACCGCGACCGTCCATCGAGACCGATCCCATTCGATCATCGTTATTCGTGCTCGTTATTATTCTCTCGTTAGTCGAAATTCTCGAGATTGAAACTAGCCAGCCGTAGTGTTTCGATCAGTTGAGTCGGACTCAGTGAACCGAATTTAATTATATATGACTTGGTCCCAAAGCGACTATCGCGAGGGTCCTCTCCAAGCGTTTATAATAGGCGGTCTTTTCGAACAGTAAGGGTCGGCGCTGTTAGCCGCTCGCGATTAAAACGCCGACCAGAAAACCTGCGCACCGTTGAACTTCATTCGTGTTTCCGTGCCCCAGTTAATTGGGGCCCATTGCATCGTTCAATTATCGACTTCTGTGGTACTTGGAGCCACTAGTTCACGTGCAAATGTCGAAACTTTCTGATTATTGAAATCATCTGATCTACGTACTTTGAAATTCTAAAGATTGCAAAATTGCAAAGTCCCAAAGCTCTAAGATTTCGAAATACCAAGCTGCCAAAGTTCCAAAACCAAACTCTCAAATTCTATCCTAAACTTACAAATTCAAAGTCCCAAAATTATAAAGTACCAATTCCGAAAAGTTTAGGAATCTGTGACCCAGAATCGATATGAACCCACAACACCCTTAGAGCGCCGTAAGAAACAAGAAGAGGGTAATAACCATCAGTGAAGGCTATATCGTCGTTTTTCGCGAACTTTAACCGGAAAATATAAGTGGAGCCTATGGTTCCTCGAGGCAAGCTCCTGTTTCGATCTCATAAGTTACTGCAGGATTGCTCATTCTCGAGACTGCTTTGTCCACTCTCCGTTCTGGAGAGAAAAATAATTGTTTACCGATCGAGAGCGGAATCGAAGGGTGAGAGGTTGGAAAGAAACGCGACGGTTCCTCGAGACTGTTAGGATACACTGACCTCATAGACTCCTTATTTTCGTTTACACCGCAAATAACTTGGAGGCCCGTCGCATCGGTCGGACCATGACCGTCGCCGGTTAATTGCGGTTCTTATATACGATCCGGAGGCGAAGTTCGAAGACAGAAGGTGGTGTTCAAAGAGAAACCAGATTGGGGGGTTGAGTGAAAGGGCGAACAGTACGGTCGGGGGTTGAAACTGCAATGTAGGACGAGTACTTTAATCTCGTCGTAATGGGGAAACGCAATTTTCCTGCAGTCCGCTGCCAACCGGGTAGTTTCCTTAGATCGATCTGCTTTATACGAGCGCGGGTCCCGTCGCTCCGTCCACTCGTCGCTCGTTTTGGAATCTCTTTGACGCGCGGCAGCTCCTCGGACGAAAAAGAAGTGACAGGTGAGAGAGGGCGCAGAAAACGCCCGGCTCCTTTGCTCTTTTATCCGTCGACCTTACTTGCACCTTGTCCCGCCAGGACGACCCGTTAGCCGTGCCGCTTTATGCATATATACTGAACGAACGATCGATCGATTTCCATCAATAATGCAGGCATATTGGATTCAGAAATACGACCGAGGCTCCATTGAATTTCCGATATGTACTTACGTATGTTGTCCATATGGTGGATGTAATATGGACGGCCACGGATGGCCTATCGTTACGCTGCAACATACAAAAAAGGTATAGTCCTCTACAGAATATTCCATGCACATTTCGAGCAAACATTATACCAAGTTATTTGTCAGGTTACACCAAATTAACCATTTGTTCGGAGAATTTGTTTCAGTGCTCAAAATATTGGCTCAGAGGTGACAATGGAGTGCAGAGAGTTAATTCGGGACATTAAGCGAGGTCTCGCTGTATAATATTTCGCGTCCGTAATCAATATTTTCTATCTCCGTCCTGATAGTCTTCTCGGACCCGTTACGCCTCGTTCTCTTTCATTTTCCTTTTCTCTTATTCCGCTCGCTTTCTTTTATTTCTTCTCTGTTCGCGTCTCGAGTCTCGCGGGAGCACGTCGCACAGTATTTACTGCAGCAGCGTGGAGGACGTAATCTAGAGAGTAGCTGTTACCGTATGAAGAGCGAGATGTAAGAATAACAATCAGGGGACAGGAGAAAAATTGAACAAACTTTATAGACGTCGGCTCGAGATGACGACGAAATTGCCCGATCCTCTAACCTTGTCATTATTTCTTCGTAAAGCGGCACGATACCAGACCCTCTTCTATCAATTTTCGATCTCTTGTTCCGCCTTTTGAGCTGCGAACGGTCTCTTGAAAAAATATTACCCTGATATGATAACGGTGCAATCTTCCGTGTAATAACGTCTCCTGGAAAACGTTACATTCGTTTGTATCGTTCTTCCTTTGTAATTGAGCTGCATTGGAAAATGTTAAGTAAAACTCTCTCTTGAATTATGAAAATAGGAGTGCAGTGATTTGAAATATAGAAAAGATAGAAATACAAAAACTAGGGATATAGAAAGAAAGGATATGGGAAGGATATGGAAAGAATAGAGATATTAAGACACAGACTCAGAGTTTAAAAGTAAATGTCTCGACATAACATTCTTCCCTTTCATAGCAAAGCAACTTTTGCAGCTGAGAATCCTGCAAAGGTTAATAGGAAAATGTCGTTGTCACGATACCAGCAAACCAACCGTGAAAATTCAAGTTTCCCGTGTACCTCTTGTTTTTGCCTCGTCACATATCATCCGGGAAGATTTTTCTCTCTTGATGGAAAGTCTTGCCGAGGAGGAAAGGCGGGTTTCGTTCTTGAGATAGCCTCTGGCCAGGAAGCTAGCTGAAAGTTTACCCTGCCGCTTTTTCCTTTGTGGTATCATCGGCGTGTTTCAAACGGTTCACCGGGATTTCATCCCCCTACCCCCGTAGGGGTTGCGCCGGCCGCGGATCCCGTTCCGGTCGGCGGCATGCCGGAGGTAAACGAAATTAAAACGTCGAGGTAAGTTTTTACGGAGTACGCGAAGGACTTGATCGTGGAGGAGTCGGACGAGGCCGTTGAAAGGGGTTGATGAACAAGGAGAGACAGTTGCCAGATGGCGAGGGTGTTCCCTCTCTTTTCATAAAAGTGCTGCGAATGCCTGCCGGCACGAGAGACTTGACCTTTGTGCCTGGCAACATTATTAAGTCCTTTGGAGCGCGTAAAGGGCCGACGGAAGCTTGGAGGATGCTCGAGGGGGAATTAGAGGAGACATTCGGAACGAAATAACTTGAAAATTCTTCGTTGGACAAGTCGGCTACCTAGCCGGAGAGGAAACGAACGTTACGACGGAAGAATCCGTTTGATCTTCCGGACCGCGATTGCCTTTTGCTGTCCTCTTGCGACGCGGCGATTCCGCTCGCGGCCGAAACATATTATTTCTTAGCGATTTTTCTCAAAGACGATTTCACGGATCGCTTTAACAGCCACTAATCTGAGGCTTCAAATAATTAATCGTTCCTTCAACCCATTAATTCGTAATTCTTAAAAGTTAATTATTAATTAGACGATCTTCCAGAAAGTCAATTGTTAAGTCGTCTCTAATTAAAAATTAAATTCTTAAGCGAATTTCGTAGTAAGACTTTAATGTTTAATTAAAGGTTTTAATTGTTTATTCGCAGTCCGTATGGAGATAGAAGAATTACAGCGCGCATTAAAGGGGGGGTTAACGGGAGCCCGTGCGGGGAATTACCTGGAGCAGAGAGAAGACAAGAACACCGGTGAAAATAACCGAAACGATTCTTTTCGTCTGTCCCATTAGTTCTTTCTTTGTTTCGCCATTAGCCGAGGTCCTTTTAAATATTATACGACGCGAAAGAGCACTATGTTCCCTTGGCGTTGAGCTTCAACGACTATCGTATTTCCTTTTCTTCCGTCGTTCCTTTTCCCTGGCTGTTCGCACGCTCGCGGGCCGCAGTGTGCTTAACAGTGGTTAAGAATGGTAAACGAAATTAAAACGTCGAGGTAAGTTTTTACGGAGTACGCGAAGGACTTGATCGTGGAGGAGTCGGACGAGGCCGTTGAAAGGGGTTGATGAACAAGGAGAGACAGTTGCCAGATGGCGAGGGTGTTCCCTCTCTTTTCATAAAAGTGCTGCGAATGCCTGCCGGCACGAGAGACTTGACCTTTGTGCCTGGCAACATTATTAAGTCCTTTGGAGCGCGTAAAGGGCCGACGGAAGCTTGGAGGATGCTCGAGGGGGAATTAGAGGAGACATTCGGAACGAAATAACTTGAAAATTCTTCGTTGGACAAGTCGGCTACCTAGCCGGAGAGGAAACGAACGTTACGACGGAAGAATCCGTTTGATCTTCCGGACCGCGATTGCCTTTTGCTGTCCTCTTGCGACGCGGCGATTCCGCTCGCGGCCGAAACATATTATTTCTTAGCGATTTTTCTCAAAGACGATTTCACGGATCGCTTTAACAGCCACTAATCTGAGGCTTCAAATAATTAATCGTTCCTTCAACCCATTAATTCGTAATTCTTAAAAGTTAATTATTAATTAGACGATCTTCCAGAAAGTCAATTGTTAAGTCGTCTCTAATTAAAAATTAAATTCTTAAGCGAATTTCGTAGTAAGACTTTAATGTTTAATTAAAGGTTTTAATTGTTTATTCGCAGTCCGTATGGAGATAGAAGAATTACAGCGCGCATTAAAGGGGGGGTTAACGGGAGCCCGTGCGGGGAATTACCTGGAGCAGAGAGAAGACAAGAACACCGGTGAAAATAACCGAAACGATTCTTTTCGTCTGTCCCATTAGTTCTTTCTTTGTTTCGCCATTAGCCGAGGTCCTTTTAAATATTATACGACGCGAAAGAGCACTATGTTCCCTTGGCGTTGAGCTTCAACGACTATCGTATTTCCTTTTCTTCCGTCGTTCCTTTTCCCTGGCTGTTCGCACGCTCGCGGGCCGCAGTGTGCTTAACAGTGGTTAAGAATTACGTCGAAATTGCACGGCTACCCCTCGAGGGCTACGGGAATGGAATATCGAGAGACACGAATTTGCGTCGGATTAACGAGCTACGAATGAAGGATGCGAAACAAAAGGAAATAAAATATCGGCCCAACCCACGGGTAGCCGACGGCTATACGTATAACTCCGGTGTTGCGTTGTGATCTAACAAAGATCGACGCGCGAACGATACCCGCGCGAAAAACCTTTCGCTGCTAGTAAAAAGTATGAAACGTCCATTTAGCCGTTCTTCCAAATAAATGTTCGCTACGGTGATATATTGCGCACTCGCCGCGATAATGATGTCACTAAAAATCACCGCTTTAGCGAACATGAGCTCGAACGTGCCCCGAAGCGTCGTAATTTCGCTCTGACAACACTTCGGAATTTTTATAGCTGCATTAACACTTTAAGACTTAATAACTTTTTCATTTTGTCCTCCGGAAATTATTAAACACTCAACAGGAATTTTTAAATCAAGGACTGTAGAAGTTTAAGAATACAGAAGCTTAGGAATGTAGAATAAAGAAACAGCAATGTATTATAATTTACCTAATGAATTTCAACGAGAGACAATGATCGTGGTCGCGTTTTGTGTTGCAGATACCGAACCATCTGGTGTGGTTATGCTTCTTCTACTTGATGTTCCATTCGTTCCTGAATCTGATGGGTGAACTGTTGCATTTCGCCGACCGGAATTTCTACTGCGACTGGTGGAACGCGAATAACATCGACACTTTCTGGAGAACATGGAACATGCCGGTGCATCGATGGGCTTTGCGGTAAGTGTCGTTGATTCGCCATTTGCAATAGCGCGATACGTAGCCGGGTTACGATTGTGCACCGTATCAAGGAAAGTGAACAAGAGCTCTCGCAGTGCGAACGCAGCGAAAAATACTATCAGAACGGTCGATCGTGGATTGCGACTCGAAACACCATTTTCGATTACCACAATTCTTTCGAATTTGTTTCCCTCCTTCGAGCCAGACCGTAGATGGAATTTCGAGGATAATACGGATAAATAAGGGAAAGAAATCGCAATTCAGCCGCGAGTCGTACTTTGATCGAGCTTCTTTCCGCGTAAGCGGGTAAACTTCGTTAACGAGTGTGCCCCGCTTTAAGAAGATTTAATTACATTTTTCGCGAGAACCTCGGGTCCTGTCTGGCCTCCGAAAAGGAAGAGAAATTTCCGTGAATCAGAGACTTTCCCCGCACTTGTACGCCCCTCGACCGCCACCCCTTTTAACCCCCTGTGGAAACTGCTGCGCGGCTAATTGTTTTAGCTTCCACCGTCGCCCCTCTATATATAACTGCTGCCACTCTAAGTAGTACTTTTAATGTCCGTGTAAGTGGGAAGGGTGTCGGGTCGGTCCCTGTTTGAAAACTATTCTGCCGCGAAATGGAACTACCCGACAGTTCGTTCCGACAAAATCTTCTATTTCGTCGTCTATTTCCGAAAATTGATTCGCTGAAACGTTTTACCTCCCTCCTTCGACCTCATTAATCCTCGCCTCTATTTTCAAACACCAGTCGATAATCGTCAGAGTTCCATCTAATTCGACATCTAATATTTATAACACTTTAATAGTTTATTACGAGTTTGGTAAAATAAAATTTGTTGAGGAAGTGGGAACTTCGGGACATTTCTGCTTTGAATTTTTTAGCAACTTTTGAAATTTTACACATTCAGGACAGTTTTCACACATCGGAGTTTCAGAACTTTTATATTTTAGGATTTTGAAACTTTCAGGATTTCGAAACAGTTGTACGCTGTCTCTTTGTAATTTCAGAACATTGGGTTTTGTAAATCATTGCGTTTTAGGAAAGTTAACAATCTCAAAGTTTTATAATTGAAGAATTTATAAATTTACAAACTTTAGACCTTTAAGAAAATTTGCCAGCTTAGGTTACTTTATTAAATCAAATTCAAAGTACAAGCCTTCAACGCACAACATATTGCAATTAATTAAAACGCGATGCAATTAAGCTTTTATCCTGCTGCAATCTTATCCCCTTCTATAGAGGTGTGATTGTATGCGCTGTCAACTTTGTAAGTCTTTACGAGATATTCCGTGAGATAAACGCAAGCTTGTTGCCGGTTGGTACACTTTGCTTTTTATCCCCATACATTTTTCCTGTCATCGTTCCATCGAATTATGCATCGCTCAATACAATCAGCAAAGTTACGGAAAACTTTCCATATAGGGTCTTCCACTTTCCGTCGGTTTTGCCGGGTGCACGTGCTGCTAACAACTCGTTCCACCGCAGTGACGACCTTCTTTGGCGCAGCAGGCGTTTTTACTTCGAAAGTGGCTTCGCGGAAAAGTTTAAATCCTCGAAAAAGTAGCCGTGGAAAAGTTGTTATTGCGCGACCGCGGCGAAGAAAGCGTATCGTGTCGCGAAAGGGTTGAAATCCCCGATTTGAAGGGTACTCAGGAGATTGATGCTCTACAGGGGACAATAATTCTACCAGAGGGATGAAAACACATATTAGTAGATCCTATACTTCACGTATGTCATGATGCTTAGTAACCGGTTATAAATATATTGAAAATAATATTACTAAGAGGGTTTCGATGTGGCAGTCAAAGTATCGAATATGGAGTATAAATGTGTATCAAAACTTTTGGACGATTGTGTATAGGATAATGAATGCAACGCAACAAGTACACATCTAACGTGATAGTAGCACTGAATCTTTAAATCTGGAAGCTGAACTTCATCAAACCGCAATTAAGTAAATTCCGAATAATTAACCCGCGGTAAAAAAGAAGGTAGTGAACCGTCATAGTCGTCGAAATTCATCGTTTTCACATCCTTCGCAGCTTCTCTCCGCAGCTGCGCCCCTAGGCTCGCGTTTTTTTCCCGTCTCGGCCGAGATATGCAGCTGCAATTGCGAGCTGCAACTGGCACGCAGCCATGCGACCGCGAAGGCGACGGGGGGTCGCAAGAGGTGAAAATGGAAAAGCTGCACAGACGACGAGGGGGAGGTGGCGGGTAGACGAGAGAAAGGTGGAAGGACGACTGTCGACGAAGACGACGTCCTTTCAGGTTTGTAATGGGAAAAGCCGATACGCATCGCGGTGCGCGCACTTAAGGCTGTTTATTCCCCGCGGCACTTATAATGCCTCCTCTATAACTGGAAGATATTTCGAAGCGTCTTTTCCAACGATGGAGGGACCAGCAAAGGGGTGAGGTAAAAACGAAACAGCGTAGAGGAGGACTGGTTTCCGCGGGTGCAACGAGGAGGGTGGATCTTTAAAGAAAGGAATCTCTTCTTCGCGGCGGTGAAACCGTCCTCGACGACCGCGTTCCACCTTTGAATTTCCTTCCTTCCTTCCTTCCGTTTTCCCTCCTGGCTTCTTAACGTCGTTCCTTTTTGCTTCCTCTTTTGCCTCTCTTCTTTCCGATGCACCCCCGTCGCTGATAACCAGCCGGCTAACGATCTCTTCCTGACCGTCGAGAGCCGACAAGCTAAGTGTCGCCGTTTCACCCAAACTTCCACGGCTATTGCTTTAATTTTTCGATCCGATTCCGCACGCGCTGATCCTTAAACGCGACCTACCCTTATCTACATGCTGTTCTTTTCGCGCGATATCGCTTTGTGCCGCAACACCGTAATGGCTGCGAGTTACATGCCGAGGAAAACGTTCCCTGCCCCGAGAATTGCACGGCGAAACGAGGCGCGGATGCTCGATCCTTTCCATTAGGCGAACGCATAATTTCCACGGTTAATGGCTTTGAAAGTACTACGTGTGAAACGTTTTCTTCCCGTCGTATGATTGCAGGCATTTGTACATTCCTGTCATCGAAATGGGATACAGAAAATCGACCGCGTCCATCACCGTTTTCTTCATCAGTGCTTTCTTTCATGAGTACCTCGTCAGTGTCCCTTTGAGGACCTTCAAAATTTGGGCATTCATGGGAATGATGGGACAGGTAGGTTCTTTTCATTTTATACAGCATTTACCTTTATTTAAAAACAATTTTTTAAATACAATTATATTACTTTTGAGAGAGAGTCGATTGGAGTTGAATTAATACGAAAACAATTGCTTCTACCTCAAATTGATATGCTTTACATTATTTAAATTTTAATTAACATCTCAATAATGTGTCGAATAAAATGAAAATTATTGCAAATGAAAATGAAGGAATAATACAAATATTAGCCTCGGAATATTTTTGTCAATGAAACAATTTTATCAAAAATCCTAAAATACTTAGCTACGAAAATGTAATGAAAAAAATTTAGAATCTGCATTCATAAACGAAAAAATCGTGAAGGTAAATTGTATAAGTAATAGATGTAAATAGAATTGGTTGTATAATTTAATAATAACCGTTTTTATTCCATTTTGATATTAAATTCGAGCACACTCGGTGCCGCACAAGAGTTCTCGACAATGTTTTTGAACCTCTACTGTAAATTTTTCCGTTTCAATGAAATATTTAAACCTGTTAAACAATATTCGTAGTAGCGGAGGAAGGGATTAAACTGAAAGAGCCGATATTTACAAAGGAAACATTACATTGCAATTTCGGAACAGCCGAAAAAGGAACCTTCAACTCCAGTCCACTCTAAGCGGAAGCCCCTTTTTAAAATCATAAAATATATTTCCCCGAATAACTGCAAAATGAAAGTTTGGAAAATTCCGATTACAAGCAGAAGTTTCATTTTCACTGGAGGTTATTTTGTTAGTGCACTCTTTCGAAATTGTGTACCATATAAGCTGATTTAAAAGTTTTATTAAGTAAAACAAAGCTCGATGCCGAGCCAGAAGTTTGTCCTGGTTCGTAAAGTTTTTATTGCGTCCACGCAAGCTAAATATACAAAATGATACCTGACGTTGTTATTTTAAACATTTTCGTTGCTTACCGCGATATTACAAAATCAATCCAATAACCAGGCGTTCCCTCTGCAAACTGCTCGCCAGCTGTAATCTTCGTGTTATCAATAGACCACGGACGAATTTAAAAATTTAAATTTTCCCGTCTCTGTAAAATCACGGAAATTCATGTAAATTGATGTCGAAGTACAGTGCACAAAAGAATACGTAAAAAGAATATCGATGACATCCAATTTAAAAAGAACTTCCAATTCAAACAGTTTCTTCGACTCCGGGGATCAGGTTTTTCAAACGATAATATCGGATGACCTGCCTCCGCCGTCAGGACTTTCTCATGAAAGAATCATCTTTCCGGAAACGGTCCCACGGTCGAAGGATTAATATTAATTTGCAGTAGCATGCCAACAGGAGGGAACTTTCTAATTGATTTTCCAGATGCCATTATCGTTGCTAAGTAAGAAGGTGGAGCAGCATTGGGGCTCCAGATGGGGCAATATCACGGTGTGGGCGAGTCTCATTATCGGACAACCACTTTGTATAATGATGTATTACCACGATTACGTGGTTACTCATTTCGGCGAAACACTGATCGAGGATTATTCGGTGGTATAAAATTATCGATGTGGACTACAATCGACCATCAACGAAGATACAACATTTCTTTGAAGAATCGTGCGCTCACCGTTTCATCGATCGTGCTTCTTTTCACGATTCTTTTCTTTCGAGTGCTCATTGCGAACTGTTTTCGAGAATCGTTCAGTGATGGGTCGTTAGAGGTTAAAAAATTGTTGAACATAGAAATTTCTGATTTTTCAATTTTACCCATCACTGATCTAGAAAATTGTTGAACGAAAGTAAAGCGCTGATAAATGTATGCGTTTATAGAGGTGCTGCTATCGAGCCACTGATACTTAATATTCTTAAAAAATTGTTAAGGTGCAGATGAAAATAGTGTAACTCATTCAAACCTATTCTTCTCTGTATTTATCTTAGACTGCACATTCTACTAAATTTTACAATTGCTCACCTTTACACCTTCTGTGTTCCACGGTCCATGTTTTTTATTAATTATAAATGTAACAATATAGGAATTTTTTTATACACTTTGTATGTTTTATAAAATGTACATATATCTATGTATACTGTAATCATAAAGATAAGTTTTTAAGCATATCTCATATCGTTTAGTATGAATAAGTTATCGATAATTTGATAAGTAACAAAGAAGAATAAAGTTTTGATATTCGAGTTACACATTCTACAATGAACGTTACAAGGACTTAATACTATAGGGGAATACAAGGAAACTACCGCAATATCATAATTTAAGAGCAGCTCAATATATTGCCAACTCCGATACTCCGCTTGTTAAACCCTATCCTCCATGGCAATATAACGAGAGTATTGTAACTCGATTACTCCCTTAACAATAACATATTAACGGATTATCGATAGCAGTTCGCTATTATCGATAGCAGCATATCTACTCCGTAAGCCAAACTTTGAATCGCGAACAAGTGCCTTAAGTATTACACGGCGACGTTCGATTATCGATCGATTTAGCGTGAAGAACAGAGAAAAGCAATATGCTGAGATTATAATGTTATAACGTGTGACTGCAGGACACGAGAACTTTTATCATTTTCTGTAAACGGGGTGACGGTTTCGAGTTTACTCATTAACATTCGTGTTTAGCTGTAAGACTGTTAACCGCTTTGATACCGGCATTTTGAGATCCCTGTATTTTCTAAGTGTTTCGAAGATTGTGAGAAGCGATAGAAATTCGAAAGTGTCGCTCCTGGTTATAAAAGACAGGGTAAACTCCTCGGATACGTTGATTGATTCGAACGATTTTATATTTGTAAGCTTGTAAACGGGCCCCGTAAATCCACGGCGCTCGACTTGAGCCATACTTCAACGCGTATATTATCCGTGCGTTAAGACAATAATTCATCGTATTTTTTCTATTTCGCATCGTTTTACGACCCCGACACACCGAGAGAAACGCATCGAGAATATTAACCGTAGTAAATTTATCCCCTATCGCGATAAATTTGTCCGGGACTGCGTATTCGGCAAATATTTTAGCCACTCGTGCGTATCGCGAAAGCATTTACGACGAAGCAGATGCCGAAGCGGAGGATTTAACGAGCCACCTTTCATTGTACGAATACAGCGACGATTTTGTAGATTTCATTCTGCGCTCGCTATCGCGTGCCACCGCGAGCGCAGACTGATTGTCGAATAAACGAGATCTTTGTTAGCAGCCTCGTTAAATTTCGTTCCATTCCTGAAAGAAAAATAGAGGGTGATCGTCGGGGATGCTTGTGGGGTTGTAGATGGATGGGGTGACTCGACGCTCCCTCAAGATGTCAGATCAAAACGCTCCTCCTCAACGAGCGACACAAAACGAGACAGATAAACGTCACCAATTATTTTTTTCTAATAAGACGAGTGAACTTCATTGGATCTGACGTGAATTCGGTTTACTACCGTACACTGCAACGGTACATTAATCCGATTTTAGTCTGGTTCCGTATCCTTATTTAACCTTTATTAAATAAAAGATTCATCTCCCTCGATAACTGTTCAGAAAATGCGTATTAAGTAATGTAGTACGTTATTCTTTCGGAACAAACGAGACAGGTCTGTAACCAATTTGCGGAATGATAAAATTAAAACTAGCAGTAAGACGCAGTAGACAGAGGAAATTAACGTTCCCATTCCTCAGCAGCCGAGGTACAAAGACGCATGATTTTCCGAGAGTATGCAGAGCTCACCGGTGGCTTTTTCCACGGGAAGCAGCGGTGGAAAAAACGGGTCAAGAGGGTCAATGGAACATACTCGGTATCTCGTAACAGCCGCGTCATCTTCCTAAACGATACTCGTGTCTCTTTTTTTTATTTGGCTGCCGGTAACGAAACGAAATAAGAATAGGGAGGAAAGTCAGGCAGCGGGTGGAAACGTCGAGAGACTCGGCGGGGCCACCCTCTCACAGATGTTCGGAACAGGGACGCGAGTTGGCTGGAGATGCTCGAAAGGAATGTTTTTTTAAGCCATCACCCTTGGGCTTTCCCGTTTGTCTGATGAGCCTCTGGATGTCACGACCCGTTTGCCCCCGAGCAGCCCCGGCGATGGATAAATTAATGATGCGGGGTGCTCACCACCGACAGTCGGACATACGTCTGCGTCAGAGGGACGTGAACACGACGTTACATACCATCCAGCTACGTGACAGGCGCAGAGACGAACGAGCGGGCGGATTCGAGCGAGTCGAGGCGGGTT